CGTTCCTTCTCTTTCCCCATCATCCTTTCATTCTTTCGTGGTAACAATAACATCCCCGTAGATTCCAGACGGCCCGCGCCTATCCCCCCCCTCCCCCTCCCCGCCACGATAATCCTCACCCACAGCCTCCGATAGGGGAAAGGAAGGAGGGTTTAACAGTTTACACGTCGGATCATCCCTCGTTATTGTTGCGTTTATGATAATAACGCACCGTTACCAGGCGGCTCGCGTGTTGCTCGACTCGTTCCAACCCTATCTCGAGCCAAACTCGTACCTACCGAGCCACGTGTTCGAATAGATAATTAATTAGATCTTCGATGTATTCCGGTATATTCGGCATTCCTCGAAATCCATCGCGCGTCAATCATGCGTCAAGGAGATTGATATTAATTTTAAGCCAGATAATAGTCAAGGCTAACAAATTATTAAACAATTTTATAACTTTAAAAATTATATTCTACAATATTTTTAAATTAATGCAGTAATACAGAATAAAAATATTTCAGGATGACCGATGTCATTTCTAACAATTAACTTTAATCTCGTTTTAATTTATTCTCTATCTGCTTTCTCAATTTTTGAAACTAAAAAGAATAAATTTAAGTGAGATTAAGGTTAATAAGATTGATAACATTGATTTAAAATAGATATGAGATTGCAAAGTCTCGACAGTGACAATTTAAGAATAATTTTATTTTTTAAAGGAGATGTTTTTCTTCTAATAAAAAATATCGAATTGTGTTAAAGCTAAATAAATATAACCATGCGATGTATTGCAAATCATTTCGAAATCGGGGAATTATTTTTCTATACGTTAAGTAAATATAATTAGTAAATATCTGGAGACACAACAAAATCGATGTTTACCCAAAATAAATCGACACATTTACAATTGAATGACGTGAGAATCATTAGAAGCGGGGAAAATGGCGTGCGTCCATTTACGAGACGGAACTTCCGCCGGCTCGAACCGGAGGCGAAATTGTATTGGAAACCAGACGAAAAGGTATCAGGATAGAGAAAGAAAGGCGATTCGTTCATATGTACGTATATGTGCTGCAGTAGGTACCTACTCGCTATGGGTATTGGATTGGATTGGATTGCCGCGTCAGCAGTACAAACACTCAAAACCTCGATGTGGGTCGGCCTCTCCCGTTCCTGTTTCAAACTGAAATTACACTTTCCCGTCCACGTTCGACCTGCCACGCCGTACCCCGACCAATATATAGCTACATTTTCCCCCTTGGCTGCATCTTTCGTCTATATATTGAGCTTATAAATGCTATTCCCGAATCTATCCTTATCTCTTATTCTTAAATGACATATCTGTCTTTGCGTATCATTTTATCTAGCCAAGTTTTATTTTAGATTTGCCGATTTTATGAGTTTTATATTTTTCGAAAATTTTATTCGATCATGTAAAATAAAAATTCCGAATAACTTACATAATTATAAAATTTATAATATCAAGTTCCAAAAAATTTGTTACACACACGATGCTGTTTAAAGAAAATTTTTTAATCGTGTTCAAAGTGATGCATAAATAAGATGTCAAAATCTTTATCATTTTCTAACGAAATGGTTAAAATATATATATTTATTAAAAATTTTTCCATGCAATTTAATGAATAAATCGGATAAAGCTGATTATAAACTAATTAATTGAGATATAGAAAAAATTATATCTTCATTACTATAAAATAATTATTCAATATAAGATTAAGTTATTAAAAGTTAAGTTAGGATCATGAAAGATGAGAAATTTATTACACGAATTAATTTCTATAAAGCGTTAATCTCTGTCTGGCCATTAATCTGGTATCATAAACATTGATTTTCGAAATAAGTGGATGCAGTGATTAAACCTTGACCTCAGCTTTTTTAGAAATCATCCTTTCCTTTTATGTACACATTATTCCTACGAAAGCAGTTCTCTCTTATATGCTTATGGTAGATGTAGGTAAATATTATACAACATGTGTAAAAGACATAAGCTATATAAATTCTCTTCACCTTGTCCTCCTTTTGCAGATGCGTATACAGAGCATTTTTTATCAATGGGAGATGTACATAAATTAAACGAAATTTATAATCATCGTACAAGATAGAAAAATTATTAAATCGTAATTTCCTAGAAAAGGGATTGATTTGGTCTTGGGAAATAATGTAGATTTTTAGAAAGCACTTGGACCTGTCTTGTAACATATTAATTGCAATTTTTTTAATTATTATATAAATCTTTACAAAAGAAGAAAAACTAAATTTAATAAGCTATCTTTAATCATTCTTTAATACATTCTTTATTTATTTAATTTATCAAACTTTTTAGTTTCAAATATGTTTAATTTATAAAATAATCCAGTCAGTAGAGATAAAGTTCGGTGGAGATATTTTGAAGCAAAACGCGTGGCACAGGCTAATCGATCTCACTCGATTTGAAGACATTTCTCTTAAAATTCATCGAATTAGAAGGATGTTGTAATTACGATAATTATTAACGATCATTATAATTATCAACTCGTTTACAATTTTTCTTTTAAAATCCGACTAGTACAGCCTACGCGCAACGCTAAGAAGAAAGTAAAAGGAACGATAAAAAGTGGAGCAAGGGGAGAGGGCCCGCATCTACAAACTACCTGGGTGCAAGAACAATGCGTACACGTTCTCCCCCATAAAACTCAGCATCCAATGGTACAAGATGGCGCCACCACCAGGCCAAAGTACCACTCGGGCGATTTCCGGTGGTCTTTGTTCCGCCCACCACTCTTGTGGGGTACGGAGCGGGAGAAGACGAAGAGGAAGGGAGGAGGATCGATGGAACTCAGCGTGGTTGAAGGCGCGCCTTTGAGATCACCGCGTGCTCGCGATGCGTATACGCGAAATATAAAAAGGCTTTTCCTCTATGAAGCCAGTTAGTCAGGCGGGCAGTAATTTTTCCGCCGCGCTTCTCGCCGCGTTGCATTCCCCAACATTTTTCCACTTCCTATTCCAGCCACCCCCTAGTGTTATTTTATAATAATATTTCAGGTTCTTCTCCTTTCTCTTTACCTTCCTACTCTTCACCTTCATCTTAATCCTCGTCTACGTCCAGATCTTCGTCTTCGTCATCATCATTTTCATCTTCTTCCGCGTTTTTCCCCCTGTTTCTTTCGTACACATGAGTATTTCGTGCAGGCCTTTACGCCGCAGAGAAGAAACGAACCGTGTACAACTTCAGGTTCTCCACTTTCTTATTTCTTCCATCCCCGCTTCCGCCTCTCTAGTCGGCGGCGGTAATGGAGGCCCTCGAAGGCGGCTCTTCTAGCGCCTCGACGAGCCAGTCGACGAAACGAAACGAAACGGAATGAAACGAAATGAGACGAGACGAGAACCGAGCGGCATTTACTCCCAACGATTCGCGAGATTCCTCTTTGCTTCCTCTTTATTTCCCCTCTTCTTCTCCTTTCTCTTGGTATACTTTTGATCCACTCGA